AGGGAGCAGTGCACAGTAATGTGCAAAAAGGTCAGGAAGAGGATAATCCAATGGCTTCCTTTCCTGTCTGGATGAGCAATATTTGGAAATGGCGTCCTGCTTTTAGGGATGAAGGGGGGAACCTAGATTTTGGTAATGCACTCTTTAACAGTGATTTTGAAAATATTTGTGTATGCACCTATAGCTTCCAATAGAACATTCTAAAGTACATCTGTCCAAGTAGGACAACATTTTTTTAAAAAAAAAACTTCTGAACCTAGATGTAATTGATGGAAGAAAATCCATACATGTGTCCTGTATACTGAAGTAGAAAATTATCATGGTGCTCCAATTAATTTTATGCAACATTGGCATGAAGGATGAAAATATCTTCTTCTGTGGCTTGGAACATGTACGTAAGAAATTATTTTTGTCCCTTTTTATTTTATAGTTCATTCTATTCTCTAAAGCAGGGGTAACAGTAAATCATGCAGAGCAAAGACCAAAATAACTTGGGTCACCTTTGATCCTTAATGAAGTTTAAACTATCCACAAAGTTTATGTATCAGCAGTTTGTAAAATAATTATCAACACATTCTGTCTAATATAATAAATGCATTTTATTTGGTACCATTCTTATCTTTACAGTTTGTAGAAACATACAGTACATGTGAAACTGCTTTCTCCCTTATACAGTCTGTCTCTTCTGCCTTCCACTGCAGTTAAGTCATCCATCTCAATCTGGAAACACTAATCCACTCTGAAATTGTAAAGTGTAGCATTACTTCCTTACAACTTCTATTTCTTGGGTCCTGGGTTAAGTGCTATCACAGAGCCCCTGAGAATCTAAAAAATATCAGAATTTTGAGCAAAAAACTAAAAATATGTTGGTCATGGAAAACAGTGTCCTGAACAATTTTGGGTGGGGGGCAGGAGAAGGAGCAGAAGAGGCATATTTTTCTGTTCAATGTGATTGCAAAAATAAACTTTAAAATGCCTGGAAGGGCAATATCTTCTGTTTACACTGAAGTAGGTGAATCTCAGAATTCTGATGATCAGAAAGCATGAGCGTTTGGCAAAGCTCAACATCACTACAACCTGCAGAACATAGGCAAATTTTAGAAAAAATAGTTTGCATAATTTATATAGTCATGGAACACTGCATCTATTGATACAAAATGTGTACGCTCAGACTACACTGAGTCATCAGTGTTGACACTAAAATGGAACAAACTTAAACTGCATTTATAACGGGTTATTCTGGAGCAAAGCCTTTGAGAGAGTTGACTGAAAACAGTACCTTGTTTAAAGAGTTTAAAAAAAACAACAGGTCATTAATGAGCACCTTCTGGAGACCTGCCGCAGGCCTGCTTAAAAGCAACAATTCTGATTTTTTACATTGCAGCAACAAACTGGTGCTAAAGTTGAAGCAAGCTCTCTTAACAGTTTAGGATGCAGCTAAAAGAATACATTTACAAACAGGCCCTTAGAGATTTATTTTTATTGTATTTTATTCTTTCATTCAAAGTATCTTATCACAGTACTGTCTGACTATACTGTTAAGTAAGCTATTGAAACAATAGGATATACACTAGCTGAATAAACCAACAATAAGCCACCTAAGCCATTTATGGTTTGGGACAGCATGACTCCACCTTGTTCTCCCTCCAGAGAGAAGTTCTTGCTGAATGTCACTGTTTTCATTAATGAAAGGAGCCCTTCCATTCACAGAATGGCCAGTCTACGTGCAGCTTGCTATTTATGATCAGAATTCAAATTATTTCTTTCAGGGTCTGTCTTGTCTCTCAGCCGGACTACGGTAGATTCCCTGAAGCCCCTGAACCTTTCACACATTCCTAAATATAGTTCTCTCTGTATTTTGCCTTGCAAAGAAGGATCAGTTTCTCTGCAGTTTTCCATAATCAACTTTCTCCAACAGACCTGCCGGATAAAAGGGTTGGGGGGAGAAACAGTTAATGGTTACCTGTTGATGGATTCCTGCCCATGACTCACCTACCTCATGGAACAATCAGATATCTGTAATAAGTCATAGAATGAGATTTACCTTTTACAGTTGTCAGTGTACATAAAAATAAAAACAGAAGAAAACTGCTGAGGAACTTAATGTCATTAAAGTGGGGCGGTCCAATGCCTCTTAATGTTTAAATGCAGTACCTGTTACGATAAATGGCAATCTGCATATGCATCAAATGGAATTTGTTTATTATTAATGGAGAAACATCAGGTGATAAAGATATACCCACTGCACATAAAAGAAAACAGTATATACATACAGATCTATTCTCTTCTGTAATTTAACACACATTTCTTTACATAAAGATTCTAAATTTCCCTTTGGATTTTATTAGGGATTGTCCAGAACAAATAATCATCAGGCAAACTGTGTGAGGATAGCAAGTCTGTCATTACTTTCCTGTAAAATATTGGGAGATGCTGAAAGAGTCCTACATCAACTTTCTACAACCAGGCACCCTCTGGAGCACCACTACTGTAATCCATAGTAAGAATGGGGATAATGGACATTTTAGACAAAATACATTGGAACACAAGGTAGGAAAAGAATGTCCTAAAGCATGCTGCTTGTTTTGGGTGGGGTGGCAGATAAATCCAATTGACCAATATGGAGTGTCCAAACAGAAACCAAGCCTTGGGCTGGGCCCCAAACTTTCTGCAACATGCAATAAGTCAAGGTTTCTTCAGGCAGTGTGAAAGCCACTGATCTGCATCTTCGACATAAAAGGAATTGCTCTTTCCCTGTCATAGTGACACCGCCACACCAACAGACATTTGCCATTTAAGCTGACTGCTTTAGATCCAGTAGAATGGTGTCGTCTTCTTTTGTCTCTGGTTTGAGCAGGTCCTTTTCAGGAGGAATCGTTACCTTCTCATCTGCCTGAGAAAGGCTTTTTGATCCACCCCCTTTGTCCTTCTTCACTTTGGTTATCACTTCAGTGTAGGAAATTTCTTCAGTGGCTGGTTCAGCATCCCTACTTTCTATTGCTGTATCGGTGGCAGACTCTTGGATTCCTTGTTGACCTTCAACCCCTGGTTGCTCTTTAGTTTTCTTATGCTTCTTCAAAGTCTCCTTAATTGGTGCCACATTGGAGATATTTTTCTTGAACCGTATCCCAGTTTGCCTCAACCTCTCTCCTGATTGCCTTATTCGTTCCCTTCTCTCAGGTGTTACTATTCGAGTACGAAGTCTGTCCACCTTCTTGCCAAAATTTTGCCTTGTTTTCTGAAGGTTCTCTCTTGAAAATGCCTTTTTGATGTTGTTGATGCGCCTCATGCCTGATTTCTTAAAACGGGCTGCTCGGCTTTCTTCTATGTAATACTCCTCATCAGAAGAGAGATCATCGGGTGGGCAGAAGGCATCTGTGCTTTCCCCTTGTGTCCGGTCTTTGACAACTGTCAGAGAAGATGGACACTGAATGTCTTCCTACAAGTAAGAGTACAATGTTATTTCTCTACCACACTTCTCAAAAATGGCTCAAAGTAAATTTAGAAAGTTCCAGATACTTGCTCCCTCAATAATTCTATTTTACGCAATAAATATTTTATAATGTTCATAAAGATTCAATAGCATAAGGGCCTGGCATTATTGTTGCTCTGCCCCCTGTACAGCATCTTTTAATTTTCCAAACAGCATTCTAATTGTTCATATGTTCTTGGGGTTAGTGCAGACCATACCATTAATAAGAAATTAACCACAGCATCACAATTTTCTTACACCTCATTGCTCCTTCCCCTTTAACAATGTCAGTGACTGCTTGAGAATAACCAAGATTTGGAATCAGTTTTAAATCCTGGTCAAGAAGAAACCCTAATGAGTCCTTGTAACACCTAGTTATGGTAATGAATGTTAGTCACCAAAAAAAAAAAAAAACTTATGGGGAGCGAAGCTTCAACAGCCCATTCCTGATTCATTAGAAACAGTTACATGATCAATTGCTATTTTGTCTATTGCAGCCTTTTTTCCCCATTTTTATCCCACCTTTATTATTTTTTATAACTCAAGGAGGCAAACATAACTCCTTCCTCCTCCTATTTTCCCCACAACAACCCTGTGAGGTGAGTTGGGCTGAGAGTGACTGGCCCAAAGCCACCCAGCTGGCTTTCATGCCTAAGGTGGGAGTAGAACTCACAGTCTCCTGCTTTCTAGCCTGGTCCCTTAATCACTAGACCAAACTCTTTTCAGTTTTCAGTACAGCTACCCCGAAAAACTGAAGAGTTGGGCTACAGAATCAAGATCAAGAATAAAACTCATATGCAGATCAAATATGGGCAAGTAATCATGATCAAGACCAAAGAGGCACCTAATGGGGATTGTGCCCATGGAGGAAAATAGAGCAGCAAGGCTTGGAAAACTATAGGTGACATTCCAGCAGTGGCCAGATCACCAAAAGGCTGCAGATTTGTGAAATAGCAACATGGCCTGCAAATTTTCTGTTTGATCTATCTAAAAGGAAGAGAACCATCTTTCCCAACTAGGACAGCATTACACATTTCCAAATCTGGAATAGACTTGCAAATGTGGCAGTTACAAGACCTGAAGGAATCTATTTTTAATGTATTTATAAAATTTATATACTGCTTCAATCAAAAAAGACTCTACACAAAGAGCAGTTGTAATACCAGTGCAGCATAAACAACAAATATTACAGGTATAAAAATTAACATATCTTGGCAACAACCTTCTAAATATCATACTAACAACCACCAGCCTCTCAAGGCCTTCCAAAACAGCCAGGTCTTTACCAGCATAGAAGCATAGGTTGGAAGGGACCCTGGAGGCCTTCTAGTCCAACCCCCTGCCCAGTGCAGGAATCCTCACATAATCCCAGGCAAGTGGCTGTCCAATTTCTTTTTGAAATCTTCCCCTGATGGAGCATCTACAACTTCAGAGGCAGGCTGTTCCATTGATTAATGGTTCTCACAGTCAGGAAATTCCTCATTTCAAGTTTGATCTCTCACTGTAAAGCTTCCACCCACTGGTTTTTGTCTTACCCTCAGGTGCTCTAGAGAGTATCCTTTTCCCTTCGTCCATTGGAAGACTGCTATCATGTCTTCCCTTAGCCTTCTCTACTTTAGGTTAAACATATTCCTTTAACCACCTTTAGGATAAACCTTTAACCTTTAACCTACTTTAACCTACTTTAGGTTAAACAATTCCTTTAACCACCAAACCGCTTACCATTCTTGTTGCTCTTCCCTGCACTCTTTCCAGTTCCTCAACATCATTTTTGTGTTGTGGCAACTAGAACTGGGCAAAATATTCCAGGCAGAACATGTTCTGACCAGTGTAGCCTAGAATGGTACTATCACTTTCCATGATCCTGACACTAGACAGATGCAGCCCAAGAATGCATTGGCTCTTTTGGCAGCTGTGGCACATTGCAGGCTCATTCTTAACCTGTGGTCTACTGAGACACCCCGATCCCTCTCACAAGTACTGCTGCTAAGCTGGATGCTGCCCATCTCATACCTGTGCACCTGTTTTTTCCTGCCTAGGTGCAGAACCTTACATTTCTCAGCATTCTCATGCGTAAAGCTCTGAGATTTGGAGGCTTCCTTGCTTTGGGGAGAGGGACAAACTGTCCCAAAGGAGGGGAGCTCTCACAGAGAATGCTTGCTTCTGTGACTACTCCCATCGCACTTACAATGGGGGGGCGGGGCGGGGGCTTTAACATTTGCTCAGATCGGGCAGGCAGATTCTATCTGAGAAAGGCAATATGAATTACAGTAACCCAGTTGGTAAGGCTGCTATTGGCTTCCAATTGCTCTTCTAGCAGGAGTTTGAGTCCATGATGAGCCCAAGTTATAACCCTGTGCTTTGTTTGGGACCACAAGTTTGTTGAGAGGCAAAGTTGATACTATTCCAGAATCATTAGGCCTCTGAACTGTAGAGTGTAAGGAAGATGACCTTGATGGAGACATGCAAGCTCTGTTGCCAAGGTTACAAGGAGTAAAATATAGTTTAAGTCCAGAACATCCAGATAAGATTCGGAAGTGGCAGACATTGTCCTAATTCACTGAACTATAAGAAGGAGGAGGAAGTACAACACAAGGAAGAAGTACAACACAATCAGACTTGCAATTTGTTATTGTACCCAGTCTCAATAAAGGTAACTTTAGCCTTGCTATGGAGTTGATGTCTTGGAGTTGATTTCTTGGTCTGGGCTACCTAGCAGAACTAACAGAACCAATAGCCATCCCGTTTTGCTCAGGGTGCATCTGATCCTCTTTCTCCTCATCCAGACCCTGCCATCCTCCAGGCATCAATTTAGAATTTCCACTGCATTCTCCATTCAACTTGCAGTGGAGATACCTAACTGAATAACATCAGCATATTGATACCTCACCTCCAACTGGCAGTTTATTTCTCCCAGTGGCAACATGTAGATTTTTATCAGGATAGGGGAAAACACTGTGGCATCCTCTACTGTAGTGCTCTAAGACCCGGCCTCTCCCCACCCACCCTGGTTACAACCACTCACTCAAGGAACAGAAACACCACAGTATGGTGACTCAGGCAGCCCAGAAAGATACTGTGGTCAACAGAGTCAAAAGCCATTGAGAGATCTGATAGAACTAGGATTGTCATGCTCCTCCTACCCAAGCCTTGCCACAGGTCATCCACAAAGGTAACCAGTGTGGTTTGGGCCTCATAACCTAATCTGAAACCTGACTGCCATAGGTCCTGATGACCTTCCCCCAAAAGAGATTGGAGGTTGATCCAATACCATTCAAAGTAGGTCTTTTTCAAGGCTGCTGGTATCTGCCCCCTGCAGAGTGGCACTGACTACAGCCTGGATGCAAGTACAGTGGTACCTCTAGTTACGAACGCCCCTCACGAATTTTTCAAGATATGACCAGCTCCGGCCCCAAAAATTTCCCTCTACTGGCGAACTCCGCCTCTACTTACGAACCGGATCCGCGGCCATTTTCCCTGCTGCCACGCGGTCGTGGCTTCCTGTGGGCGAGATCGCAGTAACCAGGGGGAGGTTGGGGGGGGTGT